ATTCTAAGTTTAATGTAACATGCTGCAATTCTCAAATTAATCATATAAACATCCTCTCTTGAATCAGAACTTGGTTCATATCTGTCACTTTTCTTACTTATTCAAGAAATTGCCTTGAGGACTAAGGAGACAGATCGATGCAGAAGTGGGGCTTGTTGTGTAATCATGGGGACCAGACTTCAAATCTCTAGCACCCACAAAAAAGCCAGGCATGGGAATGCCTATATGCCTGGTACTGTGGGTTTAGAGACAAGAGGAATTCTGGGATGAGCTAGCTGCCAGTCTAGATCCAAGTTTAGTGAGAAACCCTGTCTCTTGGAGATAAGGCAGAGAGTGATAGGGCAGGATACCCAGCGTCCTCCTCTGGCTTCTCATCACACTTTAGTACATGCCCAGGCACACACAGAAGCACATACCCCACACTTCTGTACATACACATGCACCCATCCACTCACCAGAAAGAAAATTAAGGAAGCTGCTTTGGGATTCAAATATCTCAGTGCCTGATTAGTGGTTTGCCCTCTATGTCTGTCTTTGCCGATGCCCTACTTCCCTTCCTGCTTGCTTTAACTCTATCTGCATGTGTAAATGCACATGGATCCATTTCAAACAGATCACTTCAATACTTTCATTTGAAATCTTCAAATTGGCTGGGAAACTAGAGCAGAAAAAAATGGCTAAAAGTGGCAAAGCACAAAGATAAAAGCCATAGTAGTAAATTAGTGAAGTCAATAGATTGTTGCATTTCTGGTTTTACTTTAGAGACCCATTGATCTTATTTACCTTGCAGTGTGTCTCCTGCATCCTACATTCTAATGGGGCTATTTTCCTGCAGAACCAATGGGATCACCTTTTAATTATAACATATATATATGATGTTAATATATATAATATTATATATACAATATATATATATATATATATATAAAATTAACGTGTTATTAAATGTCTGAGACAATATTGACCACTTCAACCATTAAAAGATTCACACCTTTAATTAATACAGTGTGCTTTGATTCCTGGGAACTGAAGTTTGAATCTGAATTTCTTGAATGTAATAACAGTTAGAAATGGATTGTTTAGCTGATATATTAGTGATCTTGCCCCCCAAAAAAGTGTTCACCAATTAATCATTTTAAGTAGTTAATCAAAGAAATTGGGTTACTGTTCTTAGTGACCTCTGTGCAAACAATGATGTATGGGAGATACTGACTAAATGCAGACCTTGTGTTTGTATTCCAGCATCTCTAGAGAGTCAAAGTCTGATTCAAATACAATGCCCCCTTATGGAATATTCATTACAAGAATATTCTGATTCCTGCGGAGTCGAAGGAGGCGCAAGCAGACACACAGAGAAGCAAAATGGACATGCTGTACTGAGAAAAGGTACCAAGCAGTGTGGCAAAGCATAGATAAGAGATATGGGTTAACGTAAGTGTAAGAGTTAGCTAATTACAAACCTGAACTAGTGGGTGAGCATTTATAATTAATATTAAGCCTCTGTGTCTATTTGGGAACAGCTGGTGGGACAGAAACTTCCACCTATTCCCCCTCGCACTTTATACGAAAGAAAGTGTTAAGAAGCATTGAAGTGTCCCAAAGTCAGGCAGCAAGAAGGAAAAAGCAAAATGTCAAGACTGTTCTTGGAGCTGGAGAGAGCTAAGAAGACATGCAAATCTTACAGAGGACTTGCGGACAGATCCCACATCAAGTGACTCTCAGCCACCTGTAACTCCAGATGCAGGACGTCCACCATCCTCACCTGGCCTCCACAGGACTGCACTCACAGGTACTTTCCTCCACACAGACATACACATACCCATAATTAAAAGTAAAATCTTTTTTAAAAAAATTGTTCTTATCAAGACCATTTTCTCACTAAAAACCTGAGAGGAGGTTTTATCTGAAGTTCTTTAAAAAGACCAAACCCCTTTAAATGTTTCTATGACTGCTCCAGAGTGTGAAGAATAGGCCTCCTTGCTGTGTGTTATATGTATACATTGATGTCTCTCTGGTGCCCCCTTAAGGACAGGCAGTAACTCCCTTCTCCAGAGAGACTGCTCTGTGGAATCTGTATTTCCAGGAAGGCAAGAAAAACAGCCAGCTTGGTCCCTACAAAGAGCAGTGAGTGCTCTGTGCCTTTGTCAAGGGACACTGATGGGATAGAGGCTCCAGTCATGTGTAGCTACCTCCTGTTGGGTGACTAATGTCACCTCTGTGTGCTTGCCCTGGCGGGCAGGAAGTCAGGCAGGGGGCTGAAGAGGGCCCTGAAGCTCCTATTTCCAGCAAGGCTGTGAAGCAGGATGGATGTTTGAGTGGAAAAAAATGACACTTGACAGCTGTGGGGGGAAAGAAAAAAGAAAGGGGAAAGAAAAAAAAAACAGACTGCTGGTTGAGATGAATCGATGATGATTCTAAGCAAATTAAGCCCTTGTTGGAAAGTGTTGAAAAGCTTTTAAAGTACCCCACTCTAAGAGGCAGCTGAAGGTTTGACCTGTTAAAGTACTCTTGGGTGCATTCCCAGCCCCGGCCCCAGCTTCTCTGTGACTAGTCTCTACCTCCTTATCAGCTCATTATCTCATGAAGCAGGTGCTGGCCTTCTGCTGTATAAACAATTGCTTGGAGAGGAGAAGTGGAGGGAGGCGGAGCCAACTGGCTTTTATGTGTGTCTGCGGGCTGGGAAAGGATCACTAAATGAAAAGCCCTGGGTTATCAGGGCCCTGCTCAGGCACACACAAAGCAGCCCACAGACATTTCTACAGAGAAAGAAATGACACAAATACTATGTAATCGTGGTTGAGGACACTGCCCCCTCATGTGGCTATGACCACATAGTCATCTAACATAACTCCTTTGGCCCCTAAAGGCCGATTTTCAATACATGCACTAGATAAGTGCATTAAAAAAAAAAAAAAAGCAACAACTCTGAGGACCAACACTTAACTCCCTCCCCAGTGGACACATAAAAGCCACTTAATAACATCCTAACTTGATTAATATCCCACTTTAACCTGACCTCATGATGGAGACCTCTGTTCTTATTAGAACATGGAAGATCACAGAGATAGAAACAATGGATGTTTGACTTGGGGAAAAAAAAAAACCCTCCTGTTTCCATCAGACTTCACAGAATTAGGAAATGAGGTCAAACAGATGGGAAATGTGTCCCTTCACAGTTCAACATATCCACAGGGACCCTCGGAGTATTAGAATTTGTCCAGTCTTAGGCTCCCAGTTATGTTAGCTCCATCTGGGGGGAGGTGGCAGGGAGGTCTCAGATACTCACAGTAAAGAAGGTGTGAGGACAGACAAATGGAGTTCTGGGGCCAGACCATAAGGAGGACTCTTACCACACTGACCCTCACTGTGCCTCCCTGCTCCCGATGTTCTGTGCCAGGAAAATCCCCTCAAATAACACATACCACTCTCTAGTAGGTCATACATGTGCTGGGCTTTTCTACAAACCATGCTCCTTCCAGCTACTCACTTAATGACCACAGCAGTCTAAGAAGCAAGTGAGGCAAGTCTTTTTGGTCACCACCTGTAGACTTCCGATTATCCAGTTTGTACTGGGGATTGAATTTACGGAGTCATGTGTGCCAGGTAAGCACTCTCACAGTGGGATGTGCCCCTAGCTTACGTCTTTTGAAAAGATTTTATTTTGAAAGAGGAGCTCACTAAGTTGTCCAGACTGGCCTTGAACTTGTGATCATCCTATGTTAACTTCCAAGTAGCTGGTAACGCAGACCTATTCCATCACACTTGGTTTATGTAGACGTGGCTGAAGTGTTAAATGAGTTGTTGAAGACACCACAGCTCAAAAGTGGCAGAGAGGATGCAAGGATGTAGGCTCTGATACCCGGTCCAGGGTGGTTTCCACTACGGGTTAGCCTTCCCGATTCTTTGCATGATGATTCACAGAAAATGAAGAGACTAACCCTCAAAATCACCCCCCAAGAGGGTGAGGGCAAGTACACTTAACTTGCTGTCTATCACCTGCTAAGACTCAGCATTCAGATAAAGCTTTGATGTAAACGACTTACCGAACGGGAGATCATCAAACATACCCCCATCTCCAAAGCCCCCGAACTTTGGCGCTGTGATTCACTTTCGAGGTAGGACGAGGAAGGTGAATTTTCCAGGTGGGTCCGACGCAACCACAAAGGTCTTTATAAGACGGGGGTGCAAAGGACAGAGAAGGCAATGCCACCACTGAAGCAAAAATTGGAAAGGCGATATAGCAGCTGAGAGAGGGGTCAGAGAAGGCAAGGGAGCAAGACCTGTAGTCATGACTTTAAAGACAGAAGAAAGTGGCCGTGAACAGAAAAGCAATTCAAGAAATCTCAAGAAGACTTTTCAAAAAGAAGAAAAGATTATGAACTGTCTTCTAGAGCTCTCAGAATAAAGAACCTTAAGAACATCTTTTTATCCAGCAGGATCCCTATCAAACAGTGTACCTAGAGCACTGTGCAACAATACATTTGTTTTATGTTAATCCACTGAATTTGAAGTTTGTTACCTCAGCAATAGGAAACAAAGATTCGTGTGTCAGTTTTCCTATTCAGTAGCTTCAAGATGTATTTTCCTAAACGTTACCCCCAATTTTCTTTCTTGGATCAATGAAATTTAAAAAACGGATTGCTAAAGGCAATTATTTTGTCAGATAGGAAAAAGTAACAGCTGAGTTCACTGTGTGTTATATACAACATGATTTTCCACATCTTATGTTTCTTTGTGTGTAGGGGAGACACGTTATCTAATTTAAACACAAGCCATATGCTTCATTTCCCCTACTATAAAATGAGTATGATAAAGACATATTTCATATACCCAGATATGGCAGCTAGCCTCCAAGGTGCCCCTCAATGGACATGATATCCTGGTGTTTATGTCCTTATGCCAGGTACCTCCTAAACATGGAGTAGGCTGATGTGTGGAATCAATAAGATATTCAAAAGGGGCAGAATGTTCTTTCCAAGGTTACACCATAGACATCATACCTTCCATCATCTGTTGACTCACTAATTCAGGATGAAGTCAACTTCCAAGAGCCCTAATGAGGGGTCCACAAAGAACTCAGGCCTCCTACTAAAGCCCAACACTAACTTGTCTGGCATGTGGTGAGTGAATCACCTTGGAAACCTTCAGATGATTGCAACCCCAACCAGTATCTTCATTATGACCTCAAGAGAGACCCTGAAACCACAAGCTTGCAGAACACTGTGCCCAGATTGCTAACAATTCTGAGACTTATGAGATAATTGCTCCTACCTTGAGCCACTAATTCGTGGGGTTGTTACAGAGCAAGAGATAAACCATACAGTTATTATGCAAATAAAATCAATCACAGAATACAGCAAGGTGTATAATAGCTATTATTTAAATCAATTGTTTATTAGTTTTCCACTACGTAGTACCATTTCTGAGATTTTTAACTCAGAAAAATTAGAAGCTTAGTTTAACTCTCATTTTCTCAGGTTTCAGCCTAGAATCAGGATCATCCATCACATTGGAGTCTGTGACAAGGCAGTGTATCTTGACTGGAGCATTCAGAAAACAAAACAACAAAAGAAATAGCAATAGAAACCCTGCTCACCTCGTGGCCAGAATCCCCTATAGGGGTTCACAATCCCCTATAGCAGCTTGTCCCCGATGACCGAAGAACCTCCCACTGTGCCCCCTAGGCTAATGGTCTTGCCATCTCCCAATAGGGCTGCTCAGGAACAAGCATATAGAGCAAGTCCATAATATTAGAGCTATGAATAACCTACTGTGCGGTAGAGCTTGATGAGTAATGGAATTACAAAGGGGACATACAAGCGACCCTGCCATCACCTAGCTTCAACGTGAGAGACAAAGGGGAGGAATAAACACACACACACACACACACACACACACACACACACACACACACACACACACACACGACTAATAAATTTTATACAGGCAAAATATAGATTTAATAAGCCATCACAATATGTACATTTCAGCATGTATGTCTGTGGTGATATACTGTGTACCCTAATAAAATTTGCCTGAAGATCAGAGAACAGAACAAGCCACTAGATTAAACATAGATACCAGACAGTGGTGGCACACACCTTTAATCTTAGCACTCAGGAGGCAGAGGTCCGTTTGGATCTCTGTGAGTTCAAAGCCACCGTGGACTACATGAGATTGACTCAGTCTAGGAGAGAAAAAGAGCCAGGCAGTGGTGGCACACACCTTTAATCGCAGTACTTGGGAATCACATACTTGGGAATCACATGCATTAGGAAGGAAGGAATATGGCTGGGTGGAGAAAGGTATATAAGGTGTGAGGGGAGAGGAATAAGACTTTTTTCAGCTGGAGGCTTTTTGGCAGAAGTCCTTTTGGGCTGAAGCCTTTTCGCCTGGACCCCTTTTGGCTGAGGACTCAGTGGCATTCAATCAGAGGATTCGTGGAGCTGGCAAGGTAAGACATGGCAGTGGCTTGTTCCTTTGCCTCTCTGGTCTTTCAGGATTTACCCCAAAGTCTGGCTACCAAGTTTTATCATATAAGACCATTTAGATTTCATGTTACATCAACATAAAATGTCATAATAATTAGAATAACCGTGCCAAGTGGTTTATTTTTTCTGTAATTGTTTGTTTATTTTTACTTAGTTGTTTGCTAAAACCAGGCACCAAATGAACTAAAAAAAGGATATTTTTCCTTGTGACCATAACTTACATCTCGTTTTCAAGGAGCTTGAATAGTAAAATTGCTCTTATTAATGTAGTCTATTAATTTATGCATTCTCTCTCTTAGCACATGTGGTAAGCCATTAACCACACATCCTAAACAATGAATAGGAACAAAAGAAATTTCTTTAAAGGAAGCTACATTTGTCTTCATTTTCTTTAGCATAAGAACCATTTGAAAGTGAGCGTACCACACCAGCCTTTATCAAGGTAATGCTGAAAATTAGGGACAGTCATTTTTTGCGGAGTATGAATCAAAAATCATCTGAATGAGTCTGAATGAGACAAAAGTACCATGTCCATATATCTCTGCTTTTCTGTACTGAGACACCCAGCAATTTAGAACAATAATATATGCAGCCATGGTTTAGGCACTACGATTTTTTTTATCATATGCTAGTGGGTTCTCATTACTTCATGAAAATTCTATAATTGATAGATACAAAACCAAAATATTCTTTTAGGTACTAGAGAGTACATAGTGGACATTTATTTTAGACAAATTCTCTGGAACAGAAGAGACTGCAGGGACAATCTGTTTCATGGAACACTGGGGACATAGGATCTGTCGACGTGCACCACACCTGCATGCAGTTAGTGTAACTTCTCTGCTCAAGCCAAAATGAATTCATAAGCAAGCAGCCCAATGCTTTCTACCTTATTCAGTCAGTGAGTAAGCGATTTGCTCTGCTCTTCCAGTCACTCTCACTAGCTCCTCACTCACGGCCCAAAGGTTTTAATTGCATAAGCAGCTGTTATGGTCACTCGAGGCCCTTCATGGAATAATGAGGAAAAAGACTCTAAGTCAACCTAAGAGAACTGGTAGAATTATACATTTTGCCCACAAACTTGCAAAGATGATACATATGTATATAATGGGAGATAAAGAGCTAGCCCCTAACGATCCACACACCCCCTGAGATACATTCTTATGGTGATATTTTATTTGTACTGAAATGTGATTTTATTTTTATGTTAATAAATAAAGTTGCCTGGGGGTCAGAGCTAATAGCAAGCCATAGCAGAGCTGGGCATTCATGGCGCATGCCTTTAATCCCAGCACTTGGTAGGTAGAGCTAGGTAGATCTCTGTGTGTTCAAGGATATAGCCAGCATTGGAGACACACGCCTTTAATCTCAATACCAACCATAGAAGATCTGAAGGTCTGTACAAACAGGCAGTGACGAGGCAGTCATGTGGTTGGGTTTACAACCAATGAGAAGGCAGAACAGAAAGTCTGTATAAAGACAAACACTCAGGAAGTAGGTCTCTCTTGGCTGAAGAGGCTAGCTGCAGCAGATGGGAAAGACTCTTAGCTCTAATCTCTTGGCTTTCTTCTTTGCATTGGTTCTGTGTTTCCTATTTAATAAGAAGGTTGGTTACATCTACACATTCAAAGATGTGCATTTGGGAGTGGCGACAATATTCAGGTGGATCATATGGATTCATCACATAGGATGCATCACAATTTGCAAGTACAACTAAACACAAGAATAACATAGATTCATGAGGTCAGGGCAGTTTGAGAATTAAAGGTAGGTAAGTTTGGTTGGAAGGTTCCAGGAACTAAATCTACAAAAATGTGTTCCCAACAGGACTGTGGTAGGCTTACACATGAAACTAAGGAGATTAGATCCTAAATTGGATATAATGGCAAGGGGTGTGTGTGTGTGTGTGTGTGTGTGTGTGTGTGTGTGTGTGTGTGTGTACAGATGAAAGTCATGTCTTGAAAAGACAGCACCAGCACTGGACACACTGTAAGAAGAAAGAAGGAATGTACTCTGAGAAGTATTAACAGTCCTAACCTGACTAACTGGGATGCTATGTTAGTAAGTAGGGAAAAACTTTATTACATACTTGTTATGATAATAAAACTAAAGTGGGTTTTATTGAATTTTAGTTAATAAGGATGGAAAGAAGGGGGAGAGGAGGGAGATGTATCCAGGAAGGAAAATGACAGAAACATCTCAGAAACTCAAGAAGAAGTGTAGGTGAGAATAGTTTGATGTAAGAATAAGTGAGAGTACAGAAGACAAAAGCAAGGCCTTGAAGGCTCATTTGAGAGTCCGTTGAAGAGATGGTGATGGAGTATGGAGAGATGCTGTTGGAAATGTGGGGCCAGGCCAGAGGAGAGGTAACAGTTGAACAGAAAAGATCTCGAGCAGTCACCAGAGTCTAGAAAGCTACAATTATTAAGCGGTCATTTCCTTCAGAAATGCTGGAAGAATTTACACATTTAGATGTGTGAATTATTTTAATTTTTAAAAAGCTCGTTGGTTTAAAAAACAGTAGCTTTCACAACTGAAAGCTTGGTTTCAAGGAAATACATGACTGGCTCAAAATCATACAGTTATCAAGTCAATGAAGTGGCATCTGAAAATCTGTAGACACGCAGCTTATGCTTTAATCCTTCTAAGTACTTTAGAAGATCTCTTAGTCTTTTGCCTTCAGGATAAAAAGACGCTGATTAAAGCAGGGATTATTTAAAAATAGATGTGTATTTCTTTTTGTGTACACTCTCTCTCTCTCTCTCTCTCTCTCTCTCTCTCTCTCTCTCTCACACACACACACACACACACACACACACACACACACACACACCCATGCACACTCATGGACACACCTACCAGCCTTTTCATATGTCAAAGAGCTCTTCACTTACTAGCTGTCCACCATCAGAGTTATGCACCACCATGGATCACACATATAGATCACACCGTTCTTTCAAAGGGTGTGATTTCTAGTTTGCATTTCTTCAAGGGAAGACAGAACTTACAGTCATTCATTGTCCAAAGCGATATGAATATAGACAGAGTTCCCAATATGCCTCTGTTTCATTGACTACAATTTGACAGCACTGTTTAAGAACTCAATTTTCAACTTGACTTTGAAAAGGAACACAGCTTTCTCCCTTTTCACTCAGTCCAATGATTTGTTCAGTGTTTTGATGAATGATGTCATTGCAGTAATTACCCTTCAGAAAAGTGGCTCAAAATAAGCACAAGTCTTTAGGTAAGAAAACAAGTTGACTATTAGGAACAAAATACACTGCTGTTTGTGAAAATGGTCAGTAGTGTTCAAGGTATGGTCAGCATCACCAGGGTACCAGTTCTTACGCACCAAAAGAGAAGGAGGTCATGGCTAACCTAGAAATCTTTGAAACATAGATGTGCTAAGAGATCCCATGTCATGCCAAGAGAATTGTTCTTTGGAGTGGTAATTCCAAATTACATTTTTAAGCATGTGAATCATTTTATGCAACAAAAGAGCAAAGCCTAATTCCTGTTTCTTAAAGAATTTAAAATCTAGTCTCTGGGCTAAAAACACCTTTTTATACAAAGTATGAAAAATGCTATTCATTTTGTGACTGCTCTCTCACTCTCATTTTGTTCT